CCCTCTATCGGGTGTCTGTTGAGGTGGAACGACATGCCGGGCCGCGTTTCAGCCGTCCAAATCATGGAGTTATTACACCTGGGCTATTGCGACCTCGTTATGCAAGTGCACAGTTTTTATAAACTGATGGGAAATATTTATGGAAACGTGTTTGCAGAGTCACATGCGTCATTAGGGGCTGAAACAAATGCGTTACTCGCTTTTGACAGTGGCAAATTGGTTTATTTGGCATTATCGCACAGAGGATATTAGTGTCACCCTGGTGTCTGTCACCCACTGCGTGGCTAAAAGCGCCCCGTCACGGCCGGGTCGCACAGGCTGCACAGCACCTCGGCTGCGGGCAGCACCCGGCGCACCTCGGTGCGCTGCTCGCAGCAGGCGGCTGGGTCGTGCAGCCAAGCCACCACCCTCCACAGCACGAGCCTCTGCAGCGCCCGCAGGCCGCACTGCCCCAGCAGCGAGTGCAGGTCGCTGCAGCTGGATGGCCAGGCCTCGTCGCCCGCCGTGCCCACCAGCAGCGCCAGCTCCTCGAGCGAGTGGCCATGAGCCTGCAGCAGGGACTGCAGCGTGGCGCGGGGGAGCCAGACGGTGAGCCACCTCAAGTTGCCGTGTCCTGGCGGAAGCGGGGGCAGCTCCGGGGGCTTAGCGTCCAGGGCGCCATCGTCTCCCCAGACGAACAGCCTCCTAAGCCGGGGCATGGCGTGCACCGCGCGCAGGTGCGGCTCGCGGGAGTACATGACGCTGAGCTGCTCCACCGTGGGCGCGGCGCGCTGCAGCAGCTGCAGGCTCCAGGCCGGGTCCGAATGGCAGTACACGCCGACCAGCCGTTCCACCTGCGGCAGAATAGGAATTCTCTCGGAACAGGGTTGTTCGCTCAGTCTAAAACGGACTGGAAGAAGATGTAAAGAAGTTAAAGCGTACTCGGAAACACCTGCATATATTTGTTTTTGTGATGAGTCGCGCGTTCTATGCTTAGATACACATTCGCACAATTCGTGCAATACAAAACTACTAAAGTAATACAAATCTTTACCAACCGAATCTTGCAATTCATAATAAGAATCATGCAACCCCAATAACTTACCCCTATGACGTTCCCCAGGGCTGCTGCTTTTTCTTCCGAATCGTCCCTGGCGCAGATTTCGCTAACGTTCACTTCGAGTCGTGGTTGGTCGGCCTCTTCAGCCGGAGGGCACTGCGCAGCTAAGATGCTCGGCTCCGGTATCGGTTCCCGCTCCGACTCCGGCTGAGTTCCCATCTCCCCTCCTCTCTCGAGGTCCACTTCGGTCAGCGCGGCCCTGGTCGCTAGGACCAGCCATACGGCCTTGACGAGGGGGTCCTCGGTGTCCCGCACGGTGCCCTTCAGCTCGCGCCCACCGCCCCGCAGCGTCAGGTCCCACGATTCGGTGGCCAGCAGCGTGAGGGCCTGCAGGGCGCGCTCCCTCTGGCACTGGCCCAGCAGGCCGCCTAGCTGGCTGGCGGCCTCCGCCATCACGCCTTGCAGGTGGCGCCCGAGAGCGGCCTCGGTGTCGAGGACCTCGTGCTGGCGGCAGGAGCGGGGCTCGGCAGCGGCGCGGCAGTCCCAGCACCAGCCGCCTGCATCCCTGCGGCGTGAGCCAGGGGGTGTGAATTGCGTCCCCTTCTGCGAGACGAACACCGACGTCGACGACGTTGCTCACCTGGTGCCTTCTTGGTGTTGGCGCTCCATGTGCTGCAGTGAGGTTGGGCGCCCAGGAGTTCCCAAGGTCGCGGAGGGGGTTGAGTGTCACGAGACGATGCGCTGCTGTGTGCTTGTCACGTCCTACTAGTTCGCCGGACAGTCAGCTAAGCCCAGCCAGGCCGGGCTTGCTGTGATAAGGACTGATAACCGGCCAGTGATACAGTTTTGATGTGCGCGAACACAAACCTTTGCCTTTGCGTTTGCTCGTGTGAGCCTGTATGAGGCCTCAGAGCAGCCCCCGTGGCTTACACGCCCTGACACCGTAGGCCTAGGGGTGCGGGTGACTTGTCGTGCTCGCCGCTCTCGAAATCCGTTTGCTGCATAGCCTCCTCTCCGCCCCTCGGCGCACCCCGCACCTGTGCTCGCCGCACGGCAGTGCAGGCCTAAGGGTCAGAGTGTATTGACAGGCAGCCGTGGGGCTTCTTCTGCCGCGGCACTGGTGGGCGGGGGTGGGAGGCGAGGATTACCTGGCCGCCGGACAGTCCGACCACGGCCCAGCCGCACGCCCAGACCTCACCAGGGACGCGCTTTTGTCTGTGGCCGTCGCCTTCGTGTACAGCCGCTCCTCGGCGACCACCTCCCGACCTAAACGCGCCCTTCCGCTGGGCGTCGTCGGCGTCCTTCCGAGGCGGCCGCAGCGTCCTGGTGCTCGCGCAGAGTGTACCGCTGGTCGTGGTGGGGGCGCCGCTGCCGCCACCGTGCGGTCAGGGTCAGTTCGCCATGTGGAACGTGAGCCTGCAGTCGCTGCTGTTCTTCACCACCTGCGCCGTGGTCGGCTTCTACGCTGTCCTGGTGGCGCGCCTCATTTCCTCTTACGCCGTGACCGTCTAGAGCATGGCCTCCGCCCTGCCTCGCCTCGAGCGCTTCCACCTCTTCCTTATGCTGCTGTTCCTGGTCACCTACGCGCTCGTCGTGTACGTCACGAGCCTCAACTCAAGCGTGTGGGTGTGAAGTGGCTCGCGGCCACGGGGCGGGGGGCATGGTGCGGCTGTGGGTATTGCTGTGCGTCGCCGCCGTGCTCGCGGGCGCCATGACGCCGCCACCGGCTCCCGAAGACGACGGCGGCGCGCTGCCTGAGGCCAAGGACGACGTCATCGACGATGCGCCTCCTCCACCACCTCCGCTCCCTGGCGGCGATGAGACCGATGACGAAATCGACCAGGATCAGGACGATCCGCAGAAAGACGCCACCATCACGTTCAAGTTTACCGAGGACATCATCGTGCGCTGTGGTGCAAATGCCGTGGAGCAGCGCCAGCGGCGGAGCACTCGGGTGTACTGCTTCTAGAATTGTGGGACGGTGCGGGGCGCGCAGCCATGGCGGCGGGCGGGGCGGCTTCTACACCGAGGATGAACAACTCGCCGAGAAGAAGCATGACGCCCAATCCGCTACCTCGCAAGCCAGCCCACACAGCCTGAGGTGAGAGAAACTCAGCGCCCTCGCCCCCTTACCATTTACCTCCCGCCCGCTCGCCGGCACCCTGTAACACCAGGTATACTGATAGGAAGCTAGAGCATCTGGTTTCTGAATTTGCTTTTCATATGTCATCTCCAAGAGGCTGCTTTCTGAACGGTACAGTGCTGAACCACTTTTGAGGTTCTACACTTCTGCATGAGTTATTAACGTTCGGTGGTGTTCTTCTTCTTGCCGCACACTTCGCTCCCACAATGTTGCCGGAGCTTCGGGGCGTCAGCCATCTTGTGGTGTTGTGTTTTGCGCGCAACCTCCCGCGGTCGGATGTTTGTTTGAGCTGCGCGAACTAACTGACGTCTGGGTGATTCTCAGAATACGGGCCATTAAGATTCCATGGCCCTTCGCAGCTACATATGTGATAACTTCTGCACAACACATTCTGATCTGCGCTGAGGCATGTATTTTTGGGATGTCCCACTAGGACGTGTGAGGGATTCGTGGGGGATGGTCCCAAACTCCTCCCAAAAGTTAATGAGAGCTGCTTTGGTGACTGGGCAGTTATCAGAGTTCAGATATCAGTGTTGCTGTCTGTTGTTGTTCCGCGGGTCACGCTGGTACTAGGGGCAGGAGTGTTTTCATCGTCGAGTATTGGAGACTTGACGTCCCATCATTGTAGGTTTCTTTGATTGATGATTGCAACTGTGTGGCATGGTGGTAACATACCTTCAAACTCTTTGACAAATAACGGTTGAACTGTAGTGTTTTCATCGGTTTTCATAGATGCTCGGCGCGTTACCCTAGGTAGGTAGGCGCACTGATACGTGCGACGATCTTCTGGGGGTCCCCTGGCCTGGTCCAGGGAGGTACTACGTCAATTCTTACGGAGGTCTTTTTGAGGGCTCCTTCGAGGGCTCCTTCGAGGGCTCCTTCGAGGGCTCCTTCGAGGACTCCTAGGTCCACTTCGAGGTCCCCTTTGAGGGGCCATGCTAAAGAAGTCGTGTTAACTGTAAGGGTATGTGCCAAGGGTTCGTGCGAGGGGTACTACCTCCCCCCCTCTCCGCCACGCGGAGGCGGACAGGCGGTGCGGACGGATGGTCTGACAGTTACACACACATACATACGGGGAGGGGATGGGCCGGCGACAGGACGGGGCTTGGCAGGGGGAAGGGGGGGGGTTAGGCTGGGCCCGCAGTGGCGGGCGGGCGGACGGCGGCCAGGCGGACGGTCCCGTCAGGGGGTGGCGGGGGGTGGCTGCAGGGGTGGCTCCGGGCGGGATGCTGCCCCGGCGCGGCTGGCGCGCCCTCCCCGCTCAGCTCAGTGAGCTCGTGGACCGAGCCGGGGCTGCCTGCCCGCCGCCCGAGCGCCACCCGCACCAGAGCGCACCTGCGGCCGCGCCGCCCCTCCTGGTCTCCTCCCGGCCCCCTCCACGCCGGCCGCGCCATGGACGAGCTGCAGGAGGCCTGACGGCCCCCACCCACCACTGCGGTGCTCTGGTGACGGCCCTGTTTCTGTCGGAGACGGCGTCGGCCGTGTCCTCGCCCGCAACAGTTTGGCGGGGCGAGCTGAGCGGGCGACGAGCAGGTCCCCGACCGTGCTGGCAGCCAGCACCGGGCTGCCACAGGGGCAGTCAACACCCGGCAACATGTCGGTGAGTGGTCCACCAGTCACCCACCACGCACGGGGTCGTACCAGCCCAGTCACTGGGTCACTGTTTTGTCAGTACTGGGCTTGCTGTTTGTTTTTCTAACCATTCGTCTTCTCTGATTCTTCAAAACAGTGGAGACTAATAACTAATATCTTTTCACTTTTGAGTTTTTGCCTTACCACACTCTGCCTTTTACCTTGTCCCAGTTTTGTGTGTGCCCGAGAAACGCCGCGACCCGTTACCACTTCCCCCGTACCGCGTTTCAAACGCTCCATTTGACTCCCTGATCCGCCGCTGCTGTAGTCGGCACACGTTCCTCGGCCCGCGGCGAGCCCGCCCCGGCGGGCCTCGCAAGTGATTAGTGGCTTGGTCCAGTTGATTAACGTTTCAATCACCAGCCCGCTCACGTCATATGCAAAACAGACCGTACATCATCGCTGACCTGGCTCTCGGCGTCGACTTTCGCTACCTTCAACCGTTTTTAACCAAAGTTAAGGGCCTGCACCCTGAGAGTTAAAACCGACCACAATCGCCCCTTATCGGCAACATGTTTCATCTTTCTCTTTATTTTTGCAAACACTTCCTGCTCTTTACAATACTAGGGGCGTTGAGCTAGTTCGTTTATTAAACACATTAACTAACTCCTTGTTCTGGAAACCCGGCTTGTTCGTGATATATGCACGATAAAAACGACGTCCTGGTTTCACGACGATTTGCATGACGGCTCTCAAACAATGTACACTGTTGAGTTTTCAGGGTGTGTAAGTTAATCCCAAAGTCTCTGCCGTACGAATATATCTTCTCCTAGGCAAGAAACATAACGCCCCGCTCTCATTTTTGAGAGTTACGCTGAGGTCCAGATCCTTGGAGTTCTCCAGTTAGGAATTATTTGGAGTACGATGGAATGCTAAATATGATGAAGCTTGACCCGGTTTAAACCAGTGTTCACGACATTCAGCCTTATTTGAACTTCGCTGCTTTTCTTATTTTTCCTTAGAAACAAAACTGCTACTCAAAGACAGCATCACAGCATCATCCCCCCTCCCATTTACCTCCCGCCCGCTCGCCGGCACCCTGTAACACCAGGTATACTGGTAGGAAGCTAGAGCATATGGTTTCTGAATTTGCTTTTCATGTCATCTCCAAGGGGCTGCTTTCTGAACGGTACAGTGCTGAACCACTTTTGAGGTTCTACACTTCTGCATGAGTTATTCACGTTTGGTGGTGTTCTTCTTCTTGCCGCACACTTCGCTCCCACAATGTTGCTGGAGCTTCGGGGCGTCAGCCATCTTGGGGTGTTGTGTTTTGCGCGCAACCTCCCGCGGTCGGATGTTTGTTTGAGCTGCGCGAACTAACTGACGTCTGGGTGATTCTCAGAATACGGGCCAT